GTCAAGAATGCAGAGGTAGATGGAGCCATTCTACAACTGTTGGTGGTAATATAAACTAGTACTGACTGTAAAACCACTATGGAAATCAGTGTGGAGATCCCTCAAAAAGCTTAAAATTAGAATACCAAGGATACCTCTTCCCAAAAGAGTTAAAAGCAGCACACTGTAGTGATACATGTGTGCTCATGTCTACAGCAGCACAATTCACAGGAGCTAAACTACTGAAACTGCGGAGACATCATCAACAGGTGAGTGGAGAAAAGAAAATGTGACGTAAATCAGCCATAAGAGGATGAATTTGAGTCATTATAATAAAATGGATGAACCATGAGACCATAATGTTAAGTGAATTAGACACAGAGATTAAATATCATCACATGGTTTTGCTTATATGATAAACTCACAATATAAATAAATTTAAAAGTAAAATAAAGAAAAGATGTCAGGAAATACAGAGGCAGATTTTCTAGAGACTGGAGAGAAAAGAGAAGGGAAAATGGGGGACCAGAACTGAACACAATGTGTGTGTGTGTGTCTGTGTGTGTGTGTGTGTGTGTGTGTGTGTCTGTGTGTGTGTTTGTGTAGCAATTCCTGAAATATTACTGATAAAATTAATTTTTAAAAAGAACTCAGAATGAACATTTTGAAAGCTTATAAATTTAGGAGCTGGAGGTATAGCTCAGTGTTAAAGTTATTTTCGGACTCTTTTTTTTTTTTTTTTTTTTGGTACCGGAGATCAAACTCAGGACCTTATGCTTGCGAGGAGGCACGGCAGAAAGAAGTCATTGTTAAAGTATTTGCCTGGCATACAAAAGGCAGCCCTGGGTTTCTCAGCCATCATCAAACCAAAAAAAAAAGGTATATAACAAAAATCTTAAAACAACATATTTTCTTAAATAAAAAAAGTCTCAAAAATAACATACTTGATCTTTGAAAAATTCTAAAGCTGTATCTTTACATGTACATAATGAATTTAAATTAAGTAAATATATTCCACTTAAGAGTTTACCTTCCTGATTATATCAAAACAGAATTCACAATTTCTATCACCATCCCAGCAAATCCAGGCTGGCTTCTTTCCTCACGGAATAGTCCCAGCTACATCTGCAGGGACGCTGCACACCACGAAGGAAGTTGCTCTTACGACCATGTACGTCCCACCATGTACCCAGTGCAGAAGGACCCAGAGAAGCATTTCTCTGGACTGTCACACAGCTACAAAGTGTGCGTGACCTTTGGCCTATGCAGACTATGCTCAGATACCACTGGGGACAGACCGCTCCCACTCCTTATCTGAAAACTGTGCCTCATAATGTCGCGCCAAAAAACAACCCAGGTGTCACATTTGAAGACATCTTCCCAACCATATCATTTTCTTTATTGACACCATCAGACTAGCAAATCTCTCACTCTAGAAGTAAAAACTAAGTCCAGCTGGACACTGGTGCTTGTCCATACAACCAGCACTCAGGATGAAGTGGGAGGATCTCGAGGCCAGGCATTGAAGACAAGCCTGGGCAACAAAGCAAGACTATCTCAAAACATTAAAGCAAAATGGGGCTTGGTAAAAGTGAAAAATAAATAAAGGTTAAATCCAAATACTGTATAAATCTAAAAAGTGTTTGTCAGAGAAAAATCAAGATACACTAGAATCGAAAGCCAAAGTCACTGTTATTGGAACTGCTCAAAAAAGCTTGCTCATTAGCCGGGCGTGGTGGCGCACGCCTATAATCCCAGCACTCGGGAAGCTGAGGCAGGAGGATTGCTGTGAGTTCCAGACCAGCCTGGGCTACATGGTGATGAAATCCTGTCTCAAAAAAAACAAAACAAAACAAAACAAACTTGCTCGTGTCCAAACCCTAAACTAAGACCAACTCATTCAATGTTGTCACCAGTGCATTAACAAAGGACCTCACAGGTGGTTCTGCTCCCCAGGGCTGTCCATGCAGACTTCATTTTCACCACATGACTTGAGGTTATGCAGTTCTCTGTATCTGTTATTACTGCAAGTTCCAGAACAAGCAGGAAGCTGGATTTCTGCATCTTGACATAGAAGAGATCAAAAATGATTAGAAATAGCTAGGTCACTGAATCCCTAGTACAAGTGTTAGGAAAATTCTGGGAGGACCGAATGAATTAAAATGTCTCTCTAATTGTTCATGATCTCGCTGGGAGGGGGTGCTCTGGACTCAGGTGTGTCTTATAACTGTCAGTCTCATTAACTGTGTTCTGTTACCTATGCCAGAAGCAACACAGGTGATGTGCCTGGCAGCTCCCTTGGAAAGAAGCTGCTGCTTCCTCCTCTAAAGTTACTAACCCTGTTACTCTACCACGAGCCACTCTGGCTAACCTCAGTGGGACACACAAAATGGGAGGAGTAGAAAATAGGACAAAGGCTGTATTCAAAGCCCAAAGAAGGTGAGAGACAGTCATCCTCAACTCCCCTCTGTCCAAATACAGCCCAAATTCTTGCTAACAAACCCATTACAAGTTCATAATCAAAAGCACGTATGTATGTCCAGTTATTCTGAAATAATATCTTTTCTTCAAGAAAAGAATTATTTTTCTCCCAAAACATAATCTGGAAGTGGTGGTCTACCAAAAATGAGGCTGACACAATAAAAAAGCTAAACTAAGCATAGCTGGCTCATTTGAGAAGTCATTAGAAACCTTTAATTTCTCTTCATTTTGTATGTTCCTTTTTTAGCTTTTGCCTACCTCTATGTAACCCAATGTAATATCCCCATTTTTTTTTGTTTTTTTTGGTACCAGGGATTGAACTCAGGACCTTAGTACTTGTGAGGCAGGCGGTGTCACCACTGAGCCAAATCCCAAGCTCCTATCCCTTTTAAACCTTTTCTAGGAGAAACTTTCACCCTTAGGACATGTAACAAAATGACACGCCCTGGAAACAGATGCCAGAAACAGCAAGAAATTAGGTTGTAAGTAGCATCGAGTCCAGATGAGGAGGTCACCAATATCAATCCCCGCTGTTGCAGCTCTCTACCCTAAGCCACCTGCACAGCAAAAATGGAAAACCAAGGAGAACCCTTCTCACAGGTACAGGTGACTGTTTCAACCCAAGCAGGTCCTGGGGTTCCTGTGGGGATACTGATAAGTCTGCAGAGGCCCTGATCATCAGCTTAACATTTAGAACAATAATAAACTGAAAGTCAGGTGTGGTGGCGCACAACCGTAATCCCAGTACTGAGAAGACAGAAGCAGAAGGATCTGGGCTACCCAATGAGTCCAAGACCAGCCTAGACTACAAAGCGAGACCCTGTACAAAAATAAAAAAATAAATAATAATCATAAATTGCAATAAGAACAATAAAGTATATTCTTCTTAGGAAAAGTTTTAAATTAAAATATTCCCACCTGAGAGTGGTGGTGGACACCTGTAATCCTAGCACTCTGGGAGGTAGGAGGATTGCACATTAAACCCAGCCTGGACAACTTAACGACACACTGTCAACCAGTCAATCAGTGTCTGGGGCTGTAGCTCACCGTGGGTTCAGTGCCAGTGCCAGAAATACATAAATAAATAACAGATTTCGGTTGCAGAAAAGACGTGCAAACCACTTCAGTCTTCTGGTTAGAGGATGAGTGAACTACATGGAAGCCTCTTTCAAAGCTCTGACCGTGGATCTCTCAGCAAACACTGATGGTGCAGTCCCTACCCTCAACACCCCGGCCCTAAGCATATTATCCAAGGTAGCATCATTCCTTAAGGGTACTGCCTGGCACCCACAAGGATAAGCAAAGCATTTTCAAATATATGTAAACTGAAGACCCTTCTCCCTTCCTCACTGGTCTAGGTCCCCATTGGCTCCCACTGGACAAACACAATCTCCCCTGACAAGACTTCCTGTGGAGTCACTGCCCTGCCCCAAGAAAACGCTTCTTCACATGGAAGTCAGTGTAATCTTTTCAAAGTAACGTCACAAAAATAGCAAAAAGAATAAATAAGCAAACAGCCACCACAACTGCCTCTCCCGCTAAGCTCCAACCTGTCGATGCTTCGCACTGCACTCAGAATAAAACTCCTGATGCTTTACCACGACCAGACAAGCCCGACCATCTGGCCCCTCCTGCACCTCCCTCTCTTGACTTGCTGAGTGTCACACTGACCTCAATGCCCAGATTCCTGTTACTCCCAGGCCACTGCCAGGCCTCGGGACTTGGCATTGCTTCTGTCAGCACATCTTGAGAAGTCTAGGCTCTTCTTATACTTTGAGGATCTGCTTACGTGTCCTCATCTTATCACCCCAATATGCTCCCCTCGAGATCATAAGCTCCATGGAGGCAAGGACTTGGTTTGTCTTCACTCCCCACGGCCCCTAGGTGCCGCCCCAGCCAGCAGCAGGGGGCCTGGTACACAGCAAGCACTCTTTCCAGGTGATGATGGAGTAACTAAAATGAAAGCAGAACAGGCAAATCCATAGAGAAGTAAAGTAAACTGGTTGCCAAAGGCTGGAGAGGCTGGGAGGCCAGCAGAGATTTGGAAATGGGCAGCTTAATGGATCCTTCTTTTGGGGGTAATGAAAGTGTTCTGGAATTCAATAATGGTGTACAACTCCCTGAGCATGCTAAAACACGTTTGAATTACAAATTTTAAATGAATGTTTGGTATGGTATCTAAGTTGCATCTTAATTGTTATGGCGACACACCCCTATAATCCTACCACTCAGGGAGGCTGAGGCAGGAGGATTTTGAGTTCAACCAGGCAAGACTGTCTCAAGAAATAAAAAACAGTAGGGGACAAAGCTCAGTGTGAAAGCCCTGGGTTCAATACTCAGTACTGCAAAAAGGAAGAAAAGAAAATAAAGAGAGGCTACTGTGTATGAATTTGCACAGTACCCTGCGCTACATCTGACTGTGGTGTGAACTTTTATTTTTGCTTTTACCTTCTTTTTCTCTTTGTTTGGACCCAGTTCACTTTGCAGAGCAGATTTCTTCCATACCCATCTGCCCTGCACTTTTCAGATAAACTTTTTGGTACCATTAAAAAAAGAGAGAGAAAAAAAAATAATCCCAGCACTCGGGAGGCTCTGAG